CTTCGTAGTACTATTCATCCCTTGTATTACAAAAGTGTTAACGACTTACATTTATATTATTTATATAGTTAATACAAAAGTAATTTTTAATTTTGACCATATAGAGACCAACTTTGGTCGCTAGCTTTTGAATTATATTTATTTATATTTTAATTTTTTTTTAAAAATAAATATATATTTATTAAAATATTATAACTGGGTCTCATGTTAGCAACCAATGTTGGTCGCTATCACCTTATCCTTCAATTAGCAACCAACGTTGGTCGCAAGTTTTAAATTATATATATTTATATTTTATAAGTTTTATAAAATAATAATAAAATTATTAACAAATTTAATGTGGGTCCCACTTTAGCGATCAATATTGGTCGCTAATCTCAGCATATATTTGACCAAGCAAGTCTGACCAGTCCAGTCAACAATTTGACTAAATTTGCGGCCAAATAGCGACCAACTTTGGTCGCTAAAGTATTTCAAATATTTTTATTATTATTTTCGGCAGTTTGGCGACCAACTTTGGTCGCTTTTCTTGACAGACCAAATTTGGTCGCTAATTTTTGGTCGCTTTTTCCCGGATTTCTAGTAGTGATAATTATAATTTGGCAAAATCAGATTTAAAGCTCCTACTCACTTTAGACTTGTGAACATATACCATAAGATTATCGTCCCTCTTTGCATTCATAAAAATGAGCAAGTCCCTATGAGGCATAACTACATTGCATATAGTGAATCAATAGAATATTCTTAGAATCCTAAAGCAAGAGATCACCAGCACAAATGCAAATACACCAAGATTCCTTTAATACCTCTTGGTACTATCCACTAAAGTATCAAGTTTTACTATATGTCCAGAGGTTTACAAGATACCTATTTACTAATTGTTCACATATTAATGAAACATGATGCATCGACTTGAAGGCCAACCAAGGTATGTAGTTGTCAGCCTCATTTGTTGTGGTCTTCGACAAATACATTGGGACCTGTTACGTGACGTAGCCAAGGTAGGAATTATTGTCGCTACAATGTATGAACAAAAGACAATAGAAAAATGCCATGTATAAGAGAAGTAAACAAGTACTAGTGTAGCTAATTTATGTATTTGAACTATATATTCAAAATTATTCAACTACTACTTTCAAGCAGTATCTTTTTCCATTTTATCATACTATTGTTTAAATTAGATTCAAAGTAGTTAAGAGGTATAAATAGAATACAAAATTTCAGCAGCATCTAATTTCCTACTCCTCTTGCTTCTGCTGCTACTTGAATCAACATGTCATAAGCTTAGATTTCCTACTCCCCTTGTTTCAACACATATATATCATACAGGGTTGACACTATATCTTGTGAAAGAAAGATATAAGAGGATGACCTTGAACAGTATTTTATCATGCTTTCCCCTAGACCACAATGAACTGGTGTGAACTTCATATGTCAACATAATTAACGATATTTAAGTAGAATGTCTTCAGGGAAAATTCAAATTCTTCTTCAGTATTCTCTCAAAATAGATCCTGTTAATATAGGTTATGTGGAAAGCTAGAGGGAAAGAAGTAGCACATATGAGAAAAAAGACAAAATTTTAATGTGAACTTAAATAAGTGGGAATCTGTTGCAGATTAACTTCACAACAAATCTACTTTATTGATCAAGAAGCATAAATATTTCAAAGGAAACGAAGAAGTTCAAAATGAAAGCCAACAAACACAGAGTACATATAAGAGAAAATGAAAAGGAACGGACCTGTTAGATTCAGAAGAAAAAACAAAAACCTAGAAAATTAGGTAACTTTGCAACTTAGAAGTTAGAAGGAATTATTTATCCTTAGACGTGATATTATTACTGTAAATTTGAGTAGTGTTTTGTTAATTTTATCCCTAGAGTTTCAATTGTATATTTGTGCGCTAACATTAACCACATCAAATCAAAGCAGAATTGTAACAACGTTGGATAGTTGCAAAGCACTATTCTATTTGTACAGAAAAATGCAACAAACATTCATAAATGAGTATTTCAGTGCAGGTTATCTTAAAAAGTTCATAGTGCTTTGATCTCTCATATGCTTCTAATGTGACATGTCTGCGTTAAAATAAATTTCACATGAGGTAAGATTCTCAAAATGGCCGTCATATACTACTGTTAACCTTGTACTAAAAGAATAAGGTAAATACTTGCCTACTAATGAAAATGTCAAAGCTTTGCTTATGAGAGTGTAAACATGATACATAGAGGTGCTTTTAACTACCTCACTTTTGTTTAACATAGCTTAAATCTTCTAGATATAATGTCAATTATTGTATCATGATGCTAATAGAAACTTCTCTATCCTCCTAGTCAAAGAAAGCATGGCACATGAAGGGTATATAAGAAAACTCAAGCAATTTATAATAGCTTGAGTATTGCATTTATCATGACGCATCATACATGTTGGCTAAGCTAATTATTCTTTTTAAGGAAGTATTTTAAAACGGATAAGATTGAAAGAGTAAGACATGTTTCAATACCTTTTAAAAATGACAGGTAGCTCAATTAGATTATAATTATAATGTAAAGTGTAAATTATGATTTAACAAAAAATTCATTTGGTTGAAAAAGAAAAGTAGCTAAGTGTCTCTTTTACGATAGAAAACACTTACCAGATTCTACATTCATGGATTCTGTTCATACTTCTTTTCTATCCTCTTCCACTTCAATTTTGTAGTTTTGTATTTCTTTCTTCTTCTTTTGCTCATTCGATTAGTTTCATCCTACATGAAAATTTTTTGGTTGAGATCAATGGCTTCTCGATCTCAATTCGTTGATGGTACTGGTATGGGTATTAAGCCTAATTTAAACAAACACCAGCAATACAACTACTTTAATCAGTAATCCAAACACCAAATTCAGTGGGAACCCACTGATCAACAATCAATACAGAAAAATTCACAGCCATAATCCCGCTAACAAGAACCCCAATTTACAAAGTAAACCTTATTTTTAGTCATAGCAGTATGAAAATTAGAGTAACACGGAAAAAATTACCTTTAAGTCGAAAAGTACATCCAAATATGATTACAAAGATCTGAAATAAGAACAGTATATGAACCTTCATTTGATAGCATGTTGTAGAGATATGTTGCCTGTACAATGATACCATCATGATTAATATGACATAATTAGTACAAAGATAACAAATATGACTGAAACACTTCAATGAGACAACTGTGTTTTCCTATCTTTAGTTCTTTTAGAAACAATAGGAAGCCAGAGAGCAACACCCAAAATAGAGCCAAAACAAATCGATCTTGATCAAGGACGTAGCAAAGAATACCTTCGTAATGGCAGGAGCAAAACATATGGTTCAGAATCAAACTGTTAAAAGCGCATGGTCTCTATAGCATTCTCAAATAGAATGTACATTGGAAGTTGGTTCAAGCCTCCTACATTAGATTTTCCAATAACAGAAAATTATTAAATCCATCTCATATAACACACATAACGATAGAGTAAATAATAATACAACAAGAATTAGAGCATCATCAACCCATTCATTTACTGCAATTTTGAGAGAATTTCAATTAAATTTGCTACTTTCTCTCTGTAATAGATAAATGGAAGAATCTGGGGGGGAAAAGAAAAAGGTAAATCAAAGAAAATGGAGAGTAGGAATTGGCAGAGAATAATTATGTAGCACAAGAATGAAGGTAGCATCACAGTGCTGACAATATTACAGAGCCAAGAGCATTATAAGTTTATTTGTTTAACTATTCAAGGATTAATAAAAAATGAAACAAAATGTACGTGAGTAAAATGACAAACAGAATAAAACAAAAAAATTATTCTATCTTGGGGTAGCAGAAGACTTACAAGGACGCTATTTGGATGATTTTGTCATAAACAATGTTGTATGTAGAATGATCATCACGGTTGGCTAGTGTGGACGGTCGGACCAGTACTTTAACGCAACTTGAACTCTTTGCTCTCGATAAGGCAACATAAAGTTGACTGTGTGAAAAAACAGGTTTTCGCAAATATATTCCGACGAAATTCAGAGTTTGACCTTGCGCTTTATTTATAGTCATAGCATAGCATAATCTTACTGGGAATTGTGTTCTCTTAAATTGAACTGGTATTCTTTCGTCCTGTTACGATAATAATGGTATTCTTGGGATAAATACGTGCTTATTTTTAAAATCGCCTGTCGCAATCTTAGCACTGATAACATTTGTCTTAATGTCACAACATATCAATCGTGTACCATTGCATAAACCTTCATACGGATTCAAATTACACAGCAATATAAAGGGGCAATTCTCCTTTAAAGTTAATTTGTAAGGAGGTAAACCAGCCGGATTTAAACTGTGTAATAGGTCTTCAAATTGACTTTGATCATTAGGCTCAACGGTTTCGTCAAAGCCAACAAATGTAGTTACTTTTTCTGGAAATTTTGCTATAATAATATCATTGATTTCATTCACAAAATCATTTTTCGTTGTCAGAACAACACGAGAATCTGTAAAAAAAAAAAAGGATTAGAGGAGCATGTGTGTACATTTGAGAATGTCACAGCGAATAAATGGTCCAGAGATTCTTCTTCAGTTGTAAAAGGAATAATCATAGAATCTGGAAGTTCAATTTTGTTATTAGTGTTGACCCTCTCTTGTCCATTTCCAATTTTCATAAGGTAATCACAAAAAGCAGGATCTGTTTATGCCCTCATGTTTTCGGACAGTTGCAATTTTTTAAGTTCGTCCCAAATGGTAGAATATAGCAAACTTTCACTAACAAAATCTTCTTTTTTTCCGTTTCGAACAACTGGAAGAGTTTGTTTAAAGTCACCTCCAAAAACAACAACTTTTCCCCCAAATAGAATTTTTGTATCCATAAGATCTTTTAAGAACAAGTCAAAAACATCAAGATTCTTTTTTTAGCCATAGATACTTCATCCCATACAATTAATTTTGCATCACGAATCAGACATGCAGCTGAACTTTGTTTGCTGATGTTGCAGCTGAAATTTTCATCAATATCTATAGGTATTTTAAAACGTGAATTAGCAGTTCGCCCACCTGGAAGAATAGAAGCAGCAACGCCGGAAGTAGCAGTTGCTAGAGCTATGTATCCTTTACTACGTACAATTGCTAATAAAGCACGACATAAGAAAGTTTTTCCAGTTCCTCCAGGGCCATCAATAAAAAAAAGCTCCTGGTTTCTTGGAAAATACTCGGTCAATAATCACATTGTATGCTTTCAATTGTTTTGTGTTCAGTTTTTTATGTAACAGTATATCCTCTTCACTAACCGTGATGATTCTTTTAAAGAATACCTCATTTGCTTCTTTTTCCAATATAGATGGTCGAACTGATTCTGGGATAAGCTCATATTCGTTTACATTATGACCCATAGAGTGTAAAACATCATTAATCTGATTTAAAACTTGATATTGAATATCTTTTCTTTCAACATTAGGTAACACTCTGTAATCTTCTAACATTGACTCTTCAAATTGTTTCCATATTTCTTTTGGATTGGCTGGATTGCAATACACCAATAATGTAGCAAATAAACGCCTTAAACTATATGACATTTGATAACTTGCTGCCTCTGACATGCAATCAATTAAACTGTTATCACAGTGTAAAGTCCCCTTTTTTCTAAGGATTCTCTAAAAGTATTATAATATTCCCCATTTATAGTTCGAAGATCATTATATTATTTCGGTCCCCTCACATTCAGCAATAGTAGTCTCAGATAATATCGTTCTCCTTCAGTTGGGTGACACGTTACGATATGACCAATGGCACAACGTTGTTGTCGACGTATCCATGTTTTGTCTGTTGTTGACCATACAAAATGTTCAGGAAATTCTTTGTACAATAAGTTAAGCTTTATGGCATCTTTGTTACTTCTGTTCATCTGAAAAAATTCTGTCAACATTATTTTTTTAATCATTGGATTATTAACGATTGTGTTTATATCTGTATTGCCTTTAAAAAAAACAAATTGTTGCTCTTTAAGATGTACTTGAAGATGATAAACGCTTGGATACATCTCACTAATAGAGAAACCAAATAAACGCCATACAGCTTCAGGTGGTGATACCCATCTAGCAGATTGATACTCTTTTATTTCATCTATTTCTTTGTTTGTATCATTATTATGTACATAAAATGCAATTTTGTCATGTCCTTTACAAATATATTTGTAAATATATTTAACAACCTTTATGTCAGAGCAAACCTCAACGTTCATATGACAGTTGAATTTACCAAGTAAAAAAGGATTATATGGAACAACCCAAGAGTTATCTAAATATTGCTCCCGTACTTTTACAACTTCTCCTGTGTTTCGTCTTTTATAGATGGGATAAGAATCACTTCCTTTTGCTGTTTGTTCAGCAAAACTTTTTGGATAATTAAATTTACAAAGACCATTCTTTTTCATACATGAATTTGTTGGATTCAAATTACCACACGGACCATGCATCATATGTTTAAGAACAAGTGAACGTAACTTTTTATCCAAATTAGCATCTGATAATTCAGCACTAATAATTCCATCATAAGCCTCTGATGTCAATAACTTATATTCATTAGCTAATATTATAAGAAAATGAGTGTGTGGTCAACCTCTTTTTTGGAATTCAACAGTATACATGAAAGCAACAATTTTTCCAAAGATATTTCTCTTGCTTATATATGTTTTCAGTTCTTCAACTTTAGCTCTGAATACTCGACTAATCAAATCAGGTCTATTTTGTGCTTCATCAATAGTCCATAGATACTCTTTTATTTCCGTCCAAGTTAGATTACAGATCATAGTTATAAACAAGTCTGGTTTACCAAAACATCGTACTAAGGCAATAGCATCCATATATCGTTGTCGCATATCTCTAGGTCCACCTATAAAGGAAGCTGAAAGGAATTTTTGCTTGCCAATATTAGAAGAATCTCGTTCTCCAAATCTTAAAATATCTAGAAATCCTTGCAGTATATCCATCCTAAATAAATCTTGGTTAAACGAAGCAAAATCCAATCTTTGGGTTTCAATTTTTATATATTCGTCAACTGAATATTGCTGAAATAGTCTACCAGTATGTAGCAACGCATCTTCATCATCATTTCTCAATTGAAGTTTATAACAGTAATATTCACGAGCAGAAACTGTATCTTTTTTTTTCTTTCCATTTTCTAAAGTTTGAGATTCCATTTGAAGATATGAATCAAGAGAGCAAAGATTTTGTATGCTCGACAACTGTTGACATTCATGAGTATAACTTCCACGAATATTTTTTGGTTTAGGAATTTTCTTAATACCATAATGCCACCCATTTCGCCCATATGGAAACAACAAAGGATATTGCAAGGCGTCATAACATCCATAATAGTAGTTCACTATTTGTGTTTTTTTGCTCTGAGTGTAAATTTGAATATGTGGTGCATGATTTATACTATTGTCATTGTTCTCAACCCATATTGCAGCAACTTCTGATGAAGTTGGCAAATTATATACTCGTTGATCTAAACCAGGATCACATTTGAGTCCAATATGAAAGTTTTGTAGCTCGGGAATATCTATCAAAGATCGGATAAAAAAGGAGTATGGGTTAATTCTCAATATATCTATTAGCTCTCTCACTATAGATTCATTAATTTTGTTAGAGTATGCCATTCTATTTGCTAACTCATTGTTGTTGTCATAAAAGTATAGTTGTAGATTTTTTGATTTCTTTTTCTCCGAGATACAAATCGTCTATTAGGTGATACATTTGTCCTTGAACTCTGAAAGTATAGATATCACGAGTCCTTCTCGCTAAGTCTATATCATAGTTTACACCAAGTGATGTAAATGAAAACGAATTATTATACGTTCTGATGTATGTCCGAAAGTGTTGGGATTTTTCATTATTCTCGAAATATAGATCATGTAGCTTAGCGGGCATTCGATGTAAAATTATCTTAATTATACCGTTGCTACAACAAAATCCAGCAGATTCATATTCAAATCTTTTCGCAGAGCAGAATTTATAGTTGGGAACCTTTTTTAATGGTATATAGTCTGATCGTAGTTTAATATTCATAGCAGTTGTGTTATTTTGATTGCGACCTGCACGTTCTAGAAGTTGTATGGAGTGAAACAGGAAGAAAAAAATAATATTATTCAAAGATGACACAAATACAAACCTCTGGTTATCACTATCTTAGTTGTATCATATTGTTCATTTGGTGCAGTTGATGTTGAACCTAACAGATAAATAGTTTTTTAGTGAACAATAGTATGTCTTGTATAATGGCATAATCTTATGGTAACTTTCAGTAACTTGCCTTTCTCATAAGTGCAAAGAGGATTTTCTTTGTCAAAAGCAGGGAACGATGGAAGGATTGTGACGTCACTATCTACGGATAGGCAATAAGTACAACAGATGTTCACAATATTAAATTTATGATACATATTCATGCACACAGAGAAATTTTAGTTGCACTAAATAATGAAACAGTTGCGCATACTATAGAGACTGCGATATAAAATTGATATACTAACCTATTTTGGGAGTAGAGCAAGAATCCTTTGTAGTAGTACACTGGAGATATCCTGATGTTGTTGTTATCTTAGTAGGAATGATAGAAGTCACTCTTTCAAAGGGACTATGTTTCGGCACTTGCTTTGTAGGTACCTCCTGTAATGCTAAGGCACTCTTTTTATTCGCCATCTTAAGTTTATATTGTTCACGTCGTTTAACATTCTGATCTAGACATTTTTTTCCAGAGCATGGACGCTTAGTTGTTTGTCTAGAGTCCATCGATATTCAAATTTCTCGCTCCCAAATATGCGTTGATGCAAGATCTACAGTGAAAAATTCATTAAATAGAAAACACTTGATGAAACTCAATATTAATTTAATTTCAGGAACTCAGATTACCTGATGCGATAAAAACTATACCAAAACAAAAACACAAATTAGGAACTATTGAAAACAACATCAACAACGAAATTTTAATTCCTTGGATTTAAAAGATAGAGAAGAATAATGAAATTTATTACGACAAAATCTGAAGTGCAATTAGCACAGCAAATCAAGACAGCATATGCAAATGCTTTTTAAAGAGACATGAATATAATAGAATCCTAAAGATCTTCATAGATAATTTTTGTTTTGTGATTAGACACGCAGGCTTTGTGAAACTTATACTCTTAATGGTGCCAATCAAAGCTTTTGTTCAGGGTGTCTCCCTGTTTCTTGTACGAAAATATTTTCCTCGGCAAAATAGAGTCAGTAATTACATTTCCATCTCATTCAAATAGTTCCAACAATATAACCCAAACACCCACAAAAATCTTGATTCAAATAACCTCTCAAAATAGAGAAAATTCGTTTGTTTAGCTCTTTGCAATCACGCAAAGCCCATTTAAATCTCCAGAAATTTCCTCAATCCTTAAGAGATTGTAACGAAGCATGCGAAATCGAAAATAACCTCTTAGAAAATCCCTCTGTTTAACTCTTTGTAATAGCGCCGAAGCCCATTTAAATCTCTAGGAATTTTCTCAAGCCTTAAGAGATTGTAACGAAGCATCCGGAATCGAAAACACTCATTTCAAGACGCTGCTTAGCCTTAAGACTGTTTTAAGCAAGTCTTGATCCCAATTAGTTTGGAAATTCTGAAACTCTTAATGGGTATTTAGAGAAAGTGTGAAAAGCTTGAATTTTTATCAAGAACGGGAATTTTATGAATTGTTAATCGACAAAAATCGAGGAAAAGGAGCAAAATAAAAGGAGACATACAAGTATTTGGATAAATCAAACTCTCACCTCCGTCAACAGCTATGATGTAATCACAAGGGCAGAAATCCAAATAGTACAGTATGAACGACATCGGGAAAATAGAGAAAGATGAATTCTAATGACTAACCAATTCAGATGTGAAGGAGAACGAAGGCAGCCGAACTGTTTGTTGATCTGCCAAAAATTAACCCTAAAAGCTCGAAAAGACAGATGTGGAGAAGAAGAAGCCAATCGCATAATAACACGTGGAATTGTTAGAATCGGTGGAATTTTTCGGAGGATCCTAGTGTTTTAACAGGAGCAAAACACATGGAGATGGAGTGTGAAGCAAACATGTTGATGAAACAGGCTGGTCAGGGAATACAAGATCCATCACCTTAGAAATCAATGTCGTACTTGTTGGATTCTTAACAAATCATGCAAAGTTCGGTCATTTAGGATCTTAAAATAAACACTTTATATGAAACTTTTGGAAGTCAATCGAGGTATGCACGCGCAATAACAATCTGGACTCGTGACATTAGTTGATCAAAATTTATGCAGATGTGGCATGGTTAAATTAACGTTATCACTTGTCAGCAGTGACAAATAGGAAAAATGGAAAGAAAAACAGTACAGTAGGTGAAAATTTCTAAATTGACTCATAGCCCTGCATTCCTGATAGATGGAAGTGGCACAAGGCTACAACACTTTCAAGCTGAAACCATAAAGCTAAACTTGACTAAAATCATGATGTACTTCTCTATATATAAGCCTTTATTATATACTTGTTCTGTACATATACTTCAAAATCGAGATAAGATACTTCAGGTTTGAAATAGCTCTCAACCACCATCGCAAAATGGCATAACAAACTTGAATTCAAAAAAAGTTTCTACCAAGAAACTTATTTAATAGATGAGAGATTTGGAGCTAAAGCAAGCAGTCAATGGTTTTTCTATACTAGTCACGACATATACCACTTATTCACATACATAACTCGCGGTTGTCACACATTTCCCATTCATCATCTAGAAGATCCTTGTCATGGATCACCGACTTTACATCTTCAGATGCCTTGTGCTCCTCCTCATGATAAGAAGCTGTATCCATCTTTTCTGGAGCATCCAACAAATCTGCAGGGTCAGCCACCTGATCTGGAACCATACTCTTCAAAGATGAACTAGATGAGGCTAAGATGCAGCTAGTTTGGCTGGAACATAAAGACTTGCTTAGAGGAATACGATCATCAAACTTCTCTTTCAACAACCTCACATCTTGGCATATAACAGAGATTTCGCCTCTGCAAAAGGTTGCAACAATATCCATTGAGTCTTAAAGGATTAAAAGATTAGCAAGTACAACGATTACAGTGGCATAGGATCTGGGTAAAGGGGAAAAACTAAAAAAAGAAAGGGCAATACGGAGAGAGAACAAACTATCATCAATAGTTAATTCAAACTATCATCAAAAGTAATGCTCAAAAGAATTTTTCATTTTTTCGCTTAACAGAATTTTAAACCAAAGAAAGAAAAGCGTGAGGATATTGTATGATGGGCAAGGTATATCAGCGAAATCAGATCATAACACAAGAATAAAAGTTTATTTGGACGGCTGGTTTTTCCCCCAATACAAGTTAAATATTAGTTTGCTGTTGAATGTATCAAGCAAAAACCAGCCTGAATCAGACAGCTGTTTTTTATCTTGGCATGCCACCAATCAAGCACAGTTCGACATTTTTCCAGCAAAAGAATTCCCCGTTAGGAGAGCACAAATATCAAAGGAAATTTTTAAAAAAGACCTAAAGAATTTAAGGAACACTTACTGCAACATATCTACAACACGCCCGCGGTCCACCAGGAAATCCCTCAACTGTGCAACGGACAAACAAGAAGATAAAATCACTAAACTACAACTTTTTTCAGAAGACCCATGCAGAGTAAAAATCCATTTAAGTAACAAGGTTCATTACCTTAGCGTTTTCTTCTGCCTCTTGCTTCAGAATATTTGACTCTTGCACAACTTTTTCCATAATGATTTCCTGGTCAGCAAGTGCTTTGCGTGCGACCTCTTCCTTGTCTAGTCTTTCTTGCTCAGCAGCTTTCATTACTTTCTCAGCTGCAGCCTTTCGCACCTCAAGTGTCTGATGCATCTGCACAAAGGAAACTTCCAATTTCAGGTTAAAGAAGCATATCATACAACTATTCACATCCACCTCTCTTCTATTTGGAGAGAACCATAAGTACAAGAGAAGCATCTGTGGTTTGGCAGCTTGATATCCATGTGAAAGCTACCACTCAAGTCCATAGAACCAGCAATATGAAACAAGAAAAGTTTAGAACAAGGCAAAACAAGGGAAAAGACGTGCTCTATCCAATGGACTAATGGAGGAAGAACACCTTTCAAAGGTGCCATATCATGTTGAAAGCTCCTGCTTAACCACTCTATTCTTCCCTTGTATTTTTTTGGGGGTTGTTTTTGTGTGTGTGTGTNCTGAACATGCAAACAGATATACAAATGTTAAAACGGAATGTTTAGATTTCCCTGTGTTTAACTCATGTCCTCCCAGCTTATCAGAAACAAGTCCAATATGTAAGCTTGTTGTGTCAGTCCAGACCTATATGTTTCAGAAACAATTCAGCATATCCTAGACATCAAGATCTAGTATACCTTATATTGAGGTCAAGTGACAGTTATTGAAGGACAAAAGGAAGTGCTCGAACATTTAAATGCAATATTCGAATGACAAAGGCCATGCCCAGTCGCCCTTTAAATGTTGCAGGTATAAATCAAAATAGTAGAACAAAATCATGTTAGAAGAAAAGGAAAATAAATGGAAAAAAAAAAATCTAACTCTGAAACACAACAAAGATCATCAGCTAAAACTAGCAATTCTGTCTGCACATTCAGCTTGTAGAGGTCGCGATGACTGCATAAGATTCTCTCCTTACAGAGGCTCTTGTACAGCTCCTCACTTTCACAAACAAAGATTAAAACATTCCCTCACCTCATCAAGAACTGCAAGAGATTTATCCCTTTCATCTGCCAAGCCGAGAAGCCGAGATTGAAGCTCTTTAACTTCAGTAGCTAAGATGGCTTTCTCACCATATACTTCACCAGCATGCTGCAGAAAACATTGTGCAACGTGGTTGTTAGGTTACGAGTGATGAAAGATCTAAACCATCATATATCAAAGGGCCAAAGAAGAGAAAGGCAACCATATTGTTTGCTTCCTTCGCATGTTGTAGCATTTCTTTCAGGTCTTCAACCCTCTGAAGCATATCCAGTCCCCCCTTAGCAGCTTCCTGTTTCGCCTGCTCTGCGGCTTCCTCTTGCAGTTCAACTTCTCTCATCAAGCAGATAACAGATTCCACAGCCGAAAACAATGTTTTCTGCACCAAGTTTTAATTATTAGACTTCCAGAAATTTCCCAAGAAAGTTGCTAACCTCCCCTATCAGACTTCAAAACATATTTCAGGAAAACAGGCCTTTGCTTATTCTGTTTCTGTTCCAACTTCCATGAATATTAGATAAGATTGGGATGTATCAGGGCCCGAATATAAAGTAAACACGGAGATGTTTCTAGACATGGTGGACATCTATGCAACAGTGACCTGTAAATACAAGCCCAAGCTGATCCCCATGCCAAAGTATTACAAAGCTAAAGAGGACTTGGAACTGACTAACAAATTACAAGGGGTAGGGACGTACTTGCACAGATTATTTGCATGACAAAGAGATTCTAATCTCAGAAACTACTAAGCAATTGATCAAGCACTCATTATGAAGCACTACCTAATGCTGCCTATCCCAATGAACTAAACACCTGATAACAGTTTGCTGTAACAGAAAGAACAGCGAGTTGCATCTTCAGCAGTAAAGCTTGATTGATGAACATTCTACATAAATAAGCAGCAACAACAAATTTTCACTGTGATAAGCACAAACAAATATAATCCACAACAGAAACCATGAAAAACAACCCTGTATGCACAATTGAACTATGCGTAAGAGGTCTTCTGACTTCCACTTGAAAGCAGCTAATACTCCCAACTTCGCACAACCAAGGTGTCCAACATCAACACAGACAAGTTACACTAGCGGATAAAAACTTTTTTTTATGACGATGGTGTTCGGGCGAGCAGACACACCTCAATATTCCACCCGTACATGCTACCTTCCACTGGCACAAGTACCGGGTGACTCTTCCTACCAAGGCTTAGGCAGATAGGAAAAAATCACCTAGATTTGAACATAAGACCTCGTGGTTCTACCATTAAACCACTAGGCCACACAATAGAGTAACTCATTTGGCACAGCCAATGTTAATCGTCCATATTGTTTGGTAAACGAGTGTGAAAAAGATATATAAAGAGTACCTTGTTACTTTTGGCTTCTGTGATCATATCCTCAAGAAGGTCAACGCTACAGATTTGACCAGATGCAGTGACCACAGGATTTGGCGTAGACTCTACTTCATCTACAAGCATTTCACCAGCCAAATCATTATTAAATGTAACATTGACGGTATCACTAAGTTCTGCTTTCTCTAGCTCATAGTCACGCGCATCTGGTGCAACCACCAACTCTATACTACTTTCAGAACCACTCAAGGTAGAATTTTGAGCATTCAAGGAAGCAAGCTGACTCTCAGGATGTTTCATGTCCAGATTGTCTACTGAAGATACTATTTTTTTGCGAATAAGTGCAGTAGAATCATCAGAAGGTGAGTTGTCAGTCACTTCAAGGGTATTATGTGAAACAACACATTCCGTAGGCTGATAAAGCTGATTGTATGCAAGTTCAGTTCCATCATCTTTTACTTTGAAAGGATTTGCTTCAAGACTTGCAGACTGAGCACGTTCCTCATTTTCGATGAGGGAGGGTCCACACTTCTCATAAACATCATATCTAGGACTATCTTCAGCATTTGACATGACAGATATAACTTTGCATGACTCGTCAGCATTAACTTTGACATTGGTTTTATCGCACTTCTCCCTGGAGACCGCTGTACCACCTTCAAGCACTGTACGATCTCCACCAACAGCATCATGATAATGCTGAAGGGATTCACCATCAGTATCTTCAAGTGTTTGATGATGTCCACAGCTGGCATCATAGAATGACAAGCCATTTTGCAGTTCATCTAAATCCTTTGTGTTGTGAAGAAGAGCAGCATCGGTCTGTGGAGCTCCATTAGCATCTACTGCAGCTGAGGCAGGCAGTATAATGGAAACAAAATATACTTCAGTCTGATAAAGGGACTAACAAAGAATAAAAAGGGCTTCCATTTCAAGAACCCAGGTTTACGTATAAATTAAACCAGAGAAAGATGGTTGTTTCACCAAAGCTAGGCATTACCTTCAGATGCTTTAACAGTGACTCCAGTCTCTCCAGAAGAAGCTGACAGGAGCTTATTTCTTTCAGACAAACAGGGGATAATTTCACTGAGGACTACCTCGACGGCTGTGTCAGGATCCTTACAATGCTCAATAGCAACAGCTCTAAGAATTCTAGAATCAACCTGATCAATCAAGGAAACAGAGTGTCAAAACTGTAGCTATTTTTGGTACATATTTTGCAACAAATCTCAAACTAAACTCAACATAGATAAATGGGAACTACACTCCTGGGGGATGATGTTGGTAATTTGTTTTTTACAACCACACTCCCACTGACTCATTTTAAGCTACACCAATCGAGCAGTAGTAGAAGAAAATGCTAACACTAATAGTTGAAGATTTTGTACGACGAAGAAACATAACATCAACATTCAAATTTGATTAGTTAGATTCTTAAACATACTTAAATTCTAGAAACTTGTGAAAGTTGTATAGGATAGTATTGTTAGTAGAATAGTGTCAGACATTTTGGATATCCCAAAATAAAAAGAGTGTCATATAAATTGGAACTAAACGAGGAAAAAGAGAGTAACATTGATCCAATTGTATGATTACGGAACATAATTTCATAGGGAAACAGACATTTAAAACAAGTTTGGACGTTCATCCCAAAAATAACAGAGCCCATTTGATGTCTTCAAATGGCAATTGATGTTTTACATTTTTCTAAAGATAGTGCAGAGCTGAGCACACATGCTAAAATTGTGCCACTTTACTGTAAGCCGAAACAAAAAACTGAGCATATGATGAGTCTTTAACGAAAAATAAATATCATCATACCTCAGGAAAAATCTCGTGCAATGCCTTATACACTTTCTTAAATCCCATCTCCGACAGCTATGGGTGTAATTCTGCTAAAAAAGACAACAAAGGTGTGCAAAGACCACGAAACCGTCAGTACCACTCAACGACGGGGCAAACACACAGATTTTAAAATAACAGAACGCCTTTTAACACAAATAACTGAATTGATAATAAAAAAGGCAATAAACAAATAATATTTCAAAATCAGATCAATTGACTACGCATCAGCCTTAAACTAGTTCGGTTCTATATAGATCCTCTGCATCCATTCTGCTCTATCACCGCTCATTATATTCTAGTGTTATAAAATTCTCTAACGCATAGGAAGAGTATAAATTTTAAAAGAGAAGGAAAACCCTAACCCGAAGAGACTTACATATTGCACGGGTAAAACAATCAAAAGCTCACAATCATATTACACGTACAAAAAAAACAGATTAAACCCTAAGAGACTACCATATTAATCAAAAAATAAGAAGGGAAAAAGGTCAAATCTCTGACCTAGTGGAAAATTCAGGGATTTGGGATAGAGCAGCGGCAAAATTATGAGCATATAGAGGTGGAACGTACCGTAGGGGAGAGTAGAGAGCGTGTGGGAAGGCGCGTCCTATTTGTATTTGTAGTATCCGCCTCGATAGGAGTGGAGGAGACCTATGCCGCTAAGGAAGTTACATAGGATGATTTTGTCAATTAAGAATTTATCCGAGGATAATCTTGTACATTTAATGTACGACTCTGGACCTTTGGGTAGTTGACGTGGCGGGGTTTTTGATTGGGTTGATGACCCATTCCATGCATGCTGGGCCCCCCTTTATAACACCCACTGTGGGCCCTATCTGACGCTTTTTGCTACCAAAAGAAATGCGAAACAACTAAGAAACCCGCTATCGATCAGTGATCAGGATTGTACACAAACGTTTGTTGATCCCAAAAATGTAACGTTAATCTTTTTTTTTTCCTCGTCTTTTCTCCAAAAAAAGGGAAGAAACTCTCGTAATAATAAAAGAAAGAAAAGAAACAGCTGCACCATGATTTTCTGAAGGCAAAAGATATTTTCTTCGTCCTATTTAATGCCCACGATATGACTTAATTTGAAGTAGAAATTGTTAATTTATAAAACAATAAAAGTAGAAGAACAATATTGCAGAGAAAGAAAGAGAGGAAATTTTTATTGAATNCTTCCTACCCCAGCCCCCTAACCAAACACCCCCCTTCGTCTTCCTATTCATCGTCTCAACTCAGAGACCTAACCAAACACCTCTCACCGAAACCCTAGCCGCCATGACACCCCACCGCCTAAAACCCGGCGGCAACAACGCCGCCGGTCACCAAATCAACACCATAAGACCATCAGACNCGGTAAGACCCCTCTATTTATAGGGGAAAATGACTTAGTCACAAAGTAAAACTCTCTACAAGATAGACATTCACATAACACCCCCCTTGAATGTCTACTCGATAAGTAATGTGCCTCGTTAAAACCTTAACTAAAATAAAACTCAATGGGAAAAAGTCTAGTAAAGGAAAAAGAGTACACATATCTAACAATACGCCTTTTGGTTGTCTCGTTAAAAACCTTGTGTGAGCACGTGATTTTTGCTTCACGAAAAAAACTACTCCAAAAGAAATCGAAAATTAAAACAAATTTTCTTGGTGTACAATTTTTAGAATTTGCGTGCCATTTTTGGATAATTATTTGTATTTTTATCTGTGAATGTTTATCCTGTTTTAATTAATTAAAATACAAAAAAAAATATGTTGCATGCATATCTAGGATTTGATTGTGCATTTAGGAACTAATCGAACCATAATTTGGTTTTAAAAGAAGAAAATCACAAAAATATGCATTTAGTCTATTTTATGTCATTTAAAGTGTGTCATCGTGTGATTTTATTTTAATTAAATGTTTTAACTTGTGTGCTAATTGTTNGTAGTTCAATCAATTCTTCGTTTACCTAAATTAGGTTCATTGATCGTCTTTTGTCCGTTATTTTCCCCCTTCTCCATCAGTTTATGTTCTGGCGATTAATAACATAGGTTATAAATAGTTTCGTCGATTAGTTCATTCCTGTTTGTAGACCAGTAAGTCCATCAAATGGTTTAATGTCGTGTTATGTATTCTGATCTGTAGGCACTTAGCTTCAAGGCATTGTCATTGATCCTGCATTCTTGTATAAGTTGGACTTAGAATCCCTGCATTTGTGATTGATTTTGATCCAATTTCAAGTTCAGTTTTAATGATTTTGTTGAGTTCTGTGCTATGATTTAAATTCAGTTCATTTTGTTTCAATGGGAACTCAACCTTAGTCATTCAGTTGTTATGAGAATTGGTTATAGCTGTTAGTCAGAATTAGTTTTAGATAACTGTTAGTTTGGACAGATTTTAGAATTAAAAGTTTTAATACAGTTGAATAATTGTATTAGGGGTAGTAATATTAAGGGGTTTCAGGGGTGATTTGGGAATGAAACCGTTAGGATAATATTTTAATGTTAGTGTTTTGTTAGTGGGATATTAATTAATATGGTAATGGGGAACAAAAGGGAATGGGGGGTTGAAAAAAAGCAAAGTTTTCCTTAGTGGATTTTAAGTGGAAAATTTCAGATTTAGTGGGAGAAAGGGGGTCGGGCNCCGTTTCAGGTGATCAGATCTGAGCCGTTCATCTATCTCGATCCAACGGCCTCAAGGCCCCCTCTATACCCGACCCATTTTCACCCAAGGTCGGCCCAATTTCGTATAGAAACCAAACGGCATCGTGCCATTAAATGAAACGATCCAGGCCGTCGATCGTGCTTGATCGAACGGCCAGGATCAAACNGGACATTTTTTCAGAGAAATGAGGAGGAATTTTGGAGAGTTTTTCGTTAGTTTTCAGTTCTGGGCGGATTTTTGGAGAGATTTTGGAGGGATTTTTGAGAGAGTCTAGGCTGAATTTTGAATGCTAAGAGTTCAGTAGTTTGAGAGTAAAAACATGCTGGATTTTTAAGACAAAGAATCCAGTATTGAGTGAAAGTGAGGTCTTTCTTTTACCATTGAAAATCAGTATTAGTAGTTGTTACTGTTTAATTGAAGTTCTGAGTTTCTTTATTTGAGAGTCTGAAGAACATAAATCAGAAAATCTACTGTTATATCGCATTTCTAAATACATGTTGTTTCTGCATGTGATTGCTGGTGGTATTTCTGGTTTTATTCCTGGGTTTCTGGTGTATCTCTGTTGCTGTTTGGTACTTCTGAAATTGCAACTTGTGGTCCTGAGTTTGCTGTTGGTTAAACAAAACTGTTCCATTGGTTGTTTGCTGGATTTCTGTTGGTTTTAATCTATTTCTGGGTTGCTGCTGCTTTGTTGTCACTACTGTTGCTACTCACTCATTCTTCCTATTCTTGTATTTTCAATACCAGGTACACGCTCGAATTCATTGGTGTAACCTCGAATTGGAATGAAATGAAGTAGTATTTCCGGCCTATGTTCACGTGAATATTTGTAGTGATAGTCAGTCCAATGTTGTCATTTTCCGTTTGTTTGAATTATATTGAGTCAAGAACTGGTCAATTAGGATCGCCTCTATCATTTTGAACCATTTAGACTAGTAACAAACTATGGACTGTACTTTGGTGTAGTAGTTTATTTCCAGCTTTCCCGTTGTTTATATTCACAGTGATGATAGCAAATAATAGACTTCTGTTAACAGATAACTTTTGAGTGAACATAGTGATGCCTTAAACTTAGAAAGATAGGAATTTGAATGAACACTTGGGTGAGTGTTAGTGTTGGGAATAATCAGTTAGCCAATATTCATGTTTCTTTAAAAATCAGCAAATCTCGAATGTGTTAGCTTCATTTAGTTAATA